CCCCAAAACCCCAAAACCCCAAAACCCCAAAACCCCAAATGATTGATAAAGAATTGAAATATTATTCGTATATCTTGGCCACTGAGGAGGAATTAATTAAAATCAAATTTTCAAGGAATTAAGTAAGCTTCTTTAAGTCTTCTTTCTTGATCTTGCTATATCCATCTCTGTCTTTTGTCACTTCCCAATATTTTTCACAGTATTCGCCTCCAAGCAAATTCAGGAACTCATTGTCATGAGTGATAATAATCAATTGAAAGTTTGTGTCGGATTTCCTCTCATTTATCAAGATTTGGAGGTTTTCAACAAGACCTACAATATTTTCCTTATCCAAGTTTGTAGTAGGCTCATCTAAAGCAAGGATGCCACAATTGGATCAGAATGTCTCTGCTAATGCTATTCTAATAATGATTGAAGAGAGCACCTTCTGGCCTGCTGATCATCTCCCTCTCATATCAAGTTCTGCACCACTAAACTGTTATGTATTTTTAACTTACTTCTTTTTCTTAAGAACAATTCTGTAGTTGTAAGATCTCAGTCTTCTGTTAGACTTTTCCTCATCTTGGTCTGATTTGATCTCAATAGTTTCTATATCATCTCCTTTATATGTCAGCTTCCAGAAATTCTCAATGGTTTCATTGATCTCTTTCATCTTACTATGATGATACATTCTTAGAGCATCCTCAGTCACATCATGCTTTCTAGAAATTAGTTTAGTATACTTACTCAGAAATCTCCTGTGTCATCAGTTTAGTAAGAGAATGTCTTATCTCAAGCTGGGTTATCCTCTTAGTAATGTTATCATAAGTTCTAGAATGAAGTTGTAACTTTGTACTCTTGATATTCTTCTCTAGCTGTTGATTGCTTCCTGCAGTCATATTGTATCTAGTCTTTAGTTCGTCGAGGCTCTTCAATACTTGCCTCTTTTTCTCCTTCGATTGATTAATTTCCTCTTCATATTTACATTTATTAGCCAAACTTTCTTTGATCCTCTCTATTTCAGTAAGTAATTCTCTTCCTTTTCTTAGGAGTTCAATCTTTTTATTACTTGATGGTATTTGGAGGATATCTTTCTTTATTACTTCAATAAGTTTCTCTTTCTCCACTAAATCTACAGATTCAGATTTCAGATCTTTCTCTAGTTTATTGATCATTTCATGTACTTTTTCAATCTCATCTTCATCGATTGCTTCATTGTCGATAGCTTCTATAAGTCTCGAGCAATCGAAGAATGGCTTCTCTATGGAATTCCATATGATATCTGCCTTGTTCTTCTTTCCTTGGATTGGTGATATAGAAGTCTCATTGCTATTTTGAAGATTCTCTATTTGCTCAGCAAGATCTTTCTCCTCATTTATTTTGGAACCAATATCTGATTCAAGATTTTGTATATCTTTCTCTAAAGCTCTCATGGTATTCATGCTCTCAACCAAGCTTGCCTTTATTTGAGTAATTTTAAGCTTCTTTTCTTTGAGGTTATGCGCTTCAAATTGTAGGTTTGTCACTAACTTCTGAACTCTATCTCTTTCTTGTCTTTGTGAATCATATTCATTTTCAAGTTGTTTGAATTCTCCTTTCTTCTTACTCAACTCTGACTGAAGTGTTTTATAGTCATCTTCAATATATCCTTCATACCCATTTTCTTTCAACTGGGTCTGGAATCCTTCAAGTGCAGCATCATTTCTTCTAAGATCTAATTTAAAGCTTTCATTTTGTTGAATTTCAGCTTTGATCTGACTCAAACTCTCAAGTTTTTCTTCAACTTCAGATATCTCTTTCTCCTTAAATAAGATATCTTCTTCAGTTGTCGGTTGACTCATATCTCCAATTTTTGCCTTAGTTTTTTCTATATCAGTCTCAATATCAACAATGAGTTCATTCATGATGTACTTAATCTTGCCACAAAGAAGAATCTTGTCATCAATGAGGTCTTCGTTCTCTTCATCTGAGCTTTCGGAGCTCTTCTCCTGATACTCCTTCAGCAACTTTGGAATTGTCTTAGCCTTGCTCTTCTTCATTTCTTTCTTGCAGAGATATCATTTCTTTTCTTCATGGCAGTAATCAGTCAGATATTTAGAGAAATCATCAAACCTTGTGCTATTAGAAGACGCCTTCTTTTTGATAAGTCTATCGTAAACGCAGCTTAGAGTTTCATCATTCTTGGCTTCAATGAGATCTGAGTAGGTGTCTACTTCGATATCCAAAGTGCTGGATGCGAGTTTAGTCACTTCTTCGGATAAGTGCTCCTTTTTCTCCTCAAGATATTTCAAGTGGTCTTTTAGAGTCTTAGCATCATTTTCTGAATGTATCTGTTTTCTGACTAACTCATTCTTTTCCTGGTGAAGTCAAGCTATTTTAGTCTTAGTGTCTTTAATAATTTCTTCAACAGCAGCCATATTGTTATTCTTATTCCTCTTCATGATAACTTTACTGAAAGATTTCAACTTGGAGGCAACTTTTTCTATGTTTTCAGTGTATGTTTTCTCTAATTCAAGTTTTCTATCTTCAGTATCTTTGATTTTTCCCAGAAGTTTGACAATGCCTTGCTTTTCTTCAAGTTCTTTTTCCATCTCTTCCATGTCAGTAAGGACTGCTCTCTTTTGCTCACTAAGAGTTTCCATATTCTTGACAGTACTTCTGATTTTCTTTGGTGTGGAGAAGTTCTCTTCTGAATATTGCATCGAAGCAACATCAGCTCCAGTTTCTTCAAGTTCTTTCCTAATTTCATCAAGTCTGGTATCAATTATTTTTAGTTCAGCTGTGTTCTCGTTGCCAAGAGCTTCATCTTCTTTCATCACATTATGCTTATCCTTTAGCTTCACAAGGTCTTGGTTCTTCAAGTCAATTTTAATCCGGATTTCAGCCAGATGTTTTTCCAATACTTGAACCTGATTTTCAAGTCCTTTAGCTTGTTCTTCATATTCTCTGAGAATCTGTTTCCTCTCATCTGTGAAACCATTGACTTCTTTAGAAATCAGTAAGAATGCTCCCTTGCCATTACTGCCTGTGAGCAGTGATTTTACTCGATAAGGATCAGAGAACCTCTCTTGGAGCTCTTTGAAAATTATTTCAAGATTTTTCATCAAAGCTTTATTGATCTTAGCTAATCTTTCCTTTTTATGATTAAGAGATCCTTGAAGAGTTCCCTTTTCTCCAATCATCTTGCTCTGATTCTCTCTTAGCCTTTTCATATCTCCTTCTGCTTTTTGGAGTTCCTTGTTCTTTTTCTCAAGCATCTCATCCTGCTTTTTCTTGAAGTCATCGGTCTCATTTAGAGAAGGGTCATCTATCGCATCTACTCCAAGGGACTTTCAAATTTTGTCATATTCAGGGATCATATTGCTCAAAATAGATTTCTCCTGAAATATTTGATTTTCAATCTTGCGTAGATTATCTTCAAACTTCTCAATATCTTCTAATTCTTCGCTTAGAGTTTGTATCTGCTTTCTGTACTTCTCACAGATTTGATGGTTCTCTTGATAAAGAGCTTTCTCCCTCTTTTCATCTTCTTTTAGCTTTCGATAGATTTCAAAGTCCTTCTTCATCACATCAAGTTGGTTCTTATAGTCCTTTGCAAAAGAGTTGAACTGTTTCTTCAGATCTCTGAGCTCAGTCAATGCTTTAGTGTACTTGGTAGTCTCAAATATTTCATCAAAGATCTTCTTCAAATTAGCTTGATCAGAGAAGGGCCATAAGCTTTCTTCTTGATGACAGAATATCACATTTTCAAGAATGGAGTTTGAAACTCCAAGTAGCATTGGAACTTGTCTGTCCATTTCAGCTCAGTTCTTGTTAATTGATACTTCTCTTCCATTTTTATCACGTCCCTTTAGAAGTTGCTCCATCTTCTTGAATTCTTGCTTTTTATCTTTCTTGTTCAAAAGTTGGTAAGATCTAAGAGCAAAAATCTAAATCATTTGAGTTTTTTCTTAATTCTTACTTCTTTCTGCCCATGACTCTTAAATTTACACTTAATCACAGCCTTTGTCTCTGATGCATTTGATACTTTCGGATCATGAATAAATGTCTTTCCTTTATTCGTGTTGGGAGGCATTGCGCCACTTACCATCGCTTTTAAGCATTCTATTATCGTCTATATTTATGAAATTTATTACTTTACCGTCTTTCCTGCTCCATTTTGTCCAAGGATTAGAGTTAATGGTAAGAAAAACTCTATTTTTTGCTCTTCAAAAGGACTAAATGCACGTATTCCCTGAATCGCTAACTTATCTATTGTGCTCATCTTTAGTTTTGCGGAATTTTTATTTCAATGTTGGGAGTATTTTAGGGGTTTTGGGGTTTTGGGGTTTTGGGG